CCCCAAAACCCCAAAACCCCAAAACCCCAAAACCCCAAAACCCCAAAACCCCTTCACCTCGAATGGGTATTGAAAATATCTAACTCAAAAAGTCCTGATTTTTGCGGAAATATTTTAAACTCCAACTAAAATTTACCAATCAGTAAAACTTCGTAATCTATTGGAGATTTCTGGTGATAGATACAGCAACTTTCAGACTCTCGATCATTCCAAGATAGACTGATGCATATTTAGAATTAGCCTTGTTCTCTCTTAATGTATTCCTGATCTTGTTGACACTCCTACCTGTCTCCAAAATCACCTGCTTTATAGTCTCTATCTTTTTAAGTTGGGCTTTATCTTGTTCGTCAATTGGGAGCATATTGTAGAACAGTTCAAGGAGTTTGTCAACCTTATTTTGATAATACTGCTGTCTTTGTAAGACCTTTGGTGGAATATTCTTCTCAATGTCATCACTATTAACTCTTAAAGTTAGTCTGTATGACTTCATTGTCATTTCTTCAAGATCAGCTTTTGCCTTCTTTGGTTCAGAAATTCAAGTGCTTAAGTCAGAGAATAAAGGTCTTGAATCTTTTATATTCTGAGAGAAAAGCTTAATGCTTTTGAGATTCTCTTCTTGTTCAGATTTAGATACTTTCTTGACGCTATCAAGATTCAGTGCAGAGTTATATTTTCTTCTTCCCATACTTTCAGAATCATTGCTCACCTCGATGTCTTTACCCTGATATCTTTCAATATCTTTGTCTGCTATTTCATCATTTGCATTCTTGCTAAGAATTCTTTCACTGTATTTATTATACTTCATCATCAGCTTCTCCATTTCTATTTCTTCTTTTTCAAGATTCTTAAGTTTTTTAATGTCTCTTTCCTCATCCTCTTCTCCAGCTCTTATTTCTGCGTTAAGAGTGGGTTGAAAGTCTCCATAGCCTTCAGGTCTGGCTTCGTCATCTTTATTGAGAATGAAATTGACACATTTGTCAGCTTTCCTTAGTCTATTCATAACCTTATTCTTTTCATTAATTTCCTCTTCATTGTCATCTGCTTGCATGACTACATCAATGTTAATGTGCTTGTCTTCGTAGTTCTTCTCATCTCGCTCATCAGAGCCAATATAAACGGGGTTTTCTCCTCCAAAGATTTCACTTTTGTATTCAAAGTTCTTTTTAAGGAAATAATCCCAAAAATCTTTCTCAGACTCCTCACTGTCTGATACTTTGAGTTCATAAAGCTTTTTAAGCTTTGGGTACTCATTGAGGAGTCTGATCGCATCGTATTCTTTGAAATTGATTTCAGCAGTACTGTTGTCCAAGATCTTGTTATTTGAAAAGACTAAGAGAGGGTTCGAAGCTGATCGTATCTAAAATAACTAAACACTTTAGACTTACTCCTGTATCCATTTGAGCTTCATTCTCTTTCCTTGAGAGATACTTAATGTCAGCTATTGTATCCCAAAACTCATCTTCTGAAATCTGTCCAGACTTGACAAGTTCATCGAATAGATCTTTGAGATGAGGAGTTCCCATCAGCTTTGTTAGCTTTGTCATTTCTTGCGGACCCATTTCCATTTGTTCGAAGGCAGCTTTAGCTTGCTTGATAGTTTCTGTTACCTTTTCAACATTCTTTGCAAAAAAGCTCCCTTCAAACGAGAAGGTATAGTTCTTCTTTTTAGCATTTATTAACATAATTGCTCTTGTTTCTTGAACTTTTGACTGAATTTGTTCTTCTGACTCAATATCTGAAAGAGGGATATCAAGCATTGAAAATTTTGCTTGACCTTTACCAGAAGAGTCAGCTTGGCTTTCATCTTCCTCTTTTATAAAACTGATTCTCATGTTGGTTATGTGAAGGTTTCCATAAAATTTTTGTCTGTGTTTGCACAAGAAAGAGTCTATAATTTTCTCTTTTGGGAATAATTTGAACTGCATCTTTGGAAATTAATTCTATAACCTGACAATTATTCGGGGTTTTGGGGTTTTGGGGTTTTGGGGTTTTGGGGTTTTGGGG